TGTATTTAAAAGATTTATGTTAAAGTCACCAGTTAAATAAATGTTTTTACTAGTCTCAGGTAATATGCGTTCCAGATGTTTTTGAAATAGTTCGAAATTGCCATTGGGTGGTCTGTATAGAGCAGTAATGAAAGTATTTTTAGCTTTTTTATTGATTATCTCAATAGTTATCGACTCGCAGTCTTCATTATTTATGCTAAGGTTTTTTATCTTTTTGAAAATAAAAGAATCTAAAACAAAAACACACACTCCTCCACCGATGCCCTTTTTTCTTGCTTGATGAATTGATTTATAACCCGATAAATAAAAATTTGAGTTTGAGACATCTCCGTTTTCTTTTTTAATATGTCTAACAGAAACCAGGTTTCTGTTAGACATATTACACTAAATTTGTAGTTTAAATTTTCTAACATTATTTTAAAGTTTTCAAAATTTTTATTCATACTCCTGATATTTAGGTTTAACAGCGAAAAAAAAGTTGACGAAGAACTAAGAAAGGTAGAAGCCTCACTGACATTAAAATAATTAGTTTCGATTGAAAGTTTGTCAAAAATGTTTACGTCAGGATCAATGTCATTTGTTAAAAGTATCTCTGTGAGACATATTTAAAATGTTTGGTATATTGGTTTCCGCCATGTTGAATGTAATTATTTTCTTACAGCTATTTATATGGTTATCATATTTTTATTTTTTATTTGTTTTAATAATAGGTTTATCGTTATTTTTAATGAAAGCGTAATTTAGATTAACAATTTTGTCATACCTGACGGCAACATTCTCACCGTTTTGACGCCTTTTTTTGACTTCAGTCAGCAATCTCTTTCTAATTATTACGGTATCGAGGGAAAAATCTTCGTTTATATACATGTTCGTTTCTTTTAATTTGTGCGATTCTTGAAGGATTTTGGCTTTATCTTCGTGTTATTTAAAACTGTTCTTTGACGTCCATCCTTTCTCAATCCGGTCCTATGAGCTTGCTCGATTTCAACGCCATTCAGTCCTAATTTATTTGATAAGAGTGATTGAACTTTCTCTTCAGTTTCAATCCAAGTTTCTTTTACACTTTCTGGTATTCCATCAATTCGCAAATTTTTTTTTCGAGATCTATCTTCGATTTTTGCGCATTTTTCGTTTCTATTTTCCGCTAGAATGTTTTCCTTTTCAAAGCGTTCGTTGTTTTGTTCGTGGACTTTTTAAATTTTTTTATCGAAGAGTTCTTCTTGAAAATTTAAAGATAATTTAATGTCTTCAATATCTTTTACCAAGATTTTGTTTTGGTTAGCATTTTCTTTAAAATTGTGTTCAACTTTATCAAGCCGCTCATTAATGATTTTCGTGTTTGCGCTTAAAATTTCAACAAACATTTTTTCTTGTTGCTTTAGCATCGCCTCTGTTTCTTTTTTGTATTCCATTAAAATTTCCTGTAGCATTTTTTTAATTTCAACAAGTGTAACTGCCATTTTTTTAAAATTTTTTTAAGTAAAATATTTTTTTTTCTTTTAAAACAGATAAAAAAACGCGTCTGCTCTTCTTGAAGGCTTATTGCAAAAAAAATAAAAAAAATAAAAATAAAAAATATATATATATATTATCTATATTGAGATTCATAATGAAATTCTAGAATTTAAAATTAACGACTATAAAATTGTTTGAAGTTTTATCCATACGCATATGTGGTAAATTTGAATTTTTAGTTAGTGTGTGACCTTTTTCAACAAGAAAATACATACTTTGTACAAATATTGATCAATTTATTACCAAGTGATAGAAGAAAACGTGGTGACCTTATCCAAAAATTCAAAAATGAAAATAAAACTGAATTAATCAACTGGCATATTGACCCAATATACATTCCTCCCATCTATGGTTATCGTAAACGCTTTCATCGCGAAATTAATAGCAACTACCTCGTTCGACTTTTTCAACAATCGGGTTGCAAATACTTGGAATGCTCTGCCGGATGATGTTGTCAATGCCTCTACTATCGACAGTTTTAAAAAAAAACTAGACCAGCAACTCACATAGTTATCAACTTGTTTTGCTATTAATGGGTGGTAATAAGAGTTTGACCTACACAAAACTAGCTCGTATTAATACATATTATGAAAAGAGGTACTCTGAGCGTCAGATCACTGCAAAGTTTAGTGTTTTAAAGAAAGCAGTTTATCAGATTATAGATATGTTGAAAGAACTAGATATGTTCAAATATAGGAATCATCCTGAAAAAAGAAGAAAATTAGTGAACGAGATGACCGAATGAGAAAATGTTGTTTGCAATCTTTTTGCCGAGTACAGAGACGTTAAAAGATACTTTGCAAATCATAACGTCTTTTTAAGCGTGTCTATCGTAAAGAACAGAATCAAGGCTTTTGATTAACAAGCTTACCGTCCAAATGATAAGCCGAAATTAAAAAATGCCATAATTTTGAAGCCTCTACAATTTGAAAAAGAGTACAAAGCATGTACTACAGACCAAAGATATTTTAGTCAAATGAATTAATTTTTCATCAATTTGGAAAAAGATGTCAGAAAACCTGTTGGGAAGAAAGATATGACGATTCATCAAGTTACGAGATGATTCAGTTAAGCTAGAAGAGGAGAGCTGATGTTGAGAAGTTTTTGAATTAGAATGTCTAAAAAAACTTGTTAAAGAATAAACAAACATTTTTTATTTTTATGATTGCACAATCTTTATTGAAGATAGTCATCGGGTTATAACGCAATCGTATGCAAGGCATTGCATCGTGTTATAACGCAATCGTATGCAAAATTATTTAAATAAAAATAGTTTAAAAAAGTTATACTGCTCATTTATTGATCGCTATATAAACTATACGAATGTTGCCTGGAGCACAGGTAAAATTAAGTTACGACGTCTTCATCAGCGTAATATACTTTTCAAATCGTTTTTCAAATACGAAACCTTTATTTAAAGGTATGTTTTAAATGTTTACGAACTTAATGTTTTACGTTTTGTTGTATAAATAACCCATTATTAAATGTTTTTAAAGATATATGTACCCTTAAAGCAAAGAATGAATATAGTTTGCGAAATAATTTTAACGAGCCCTTTTGTCAAAACAAAGTTTAACTAGTTTTTTATAACTTATTGAGCATCTCATCTTTTGGAATAAAGTTGATCAGCTCAACTTTGATTTGTCTCTTTTCCAGTTTTTAAAAATAAGTTAAAGAGTATTATTTTTTTAATGGATAATATATTAAAACATTTTTGAAAATTTTTAACTATTTATTATTTCAACTATTTTATATTGTTATTTTGATTTTAACTACATGTATTATATTTATATTTTTATATGGCTTTGGTGACAAGATCAGTATGATCTTCCTCCAGATGCCAAGTTTATATTATACGACATGTTATACATGTACACTAAAAAATTTCTTGAAATGAAAATGAAAACTTCAGTTTTTTTGGTACAAACTTTCTGTTCTGTTGGTATGAAACAGGTTCTGGAATTGTAAGGTTAAATTAAGGCAAATATCTTTCTTGTTTGTTTTTTTTTAACTTCTTTTCCCCATTTAAGCCATTTGAGTTCAATAATCATTAGTTTTGAATTTTAGTCTATAATAATATTGTATTTTGTCTCTATTTTAATATTGTATTTTGCCTCCATATCAGCGTTTTTATTTTTCTACAGAATGCTAATAAATTTGGATCAAAAGTTGTGATGTACAAAGCTGAATATACTTTGAAGGTTTTAGGCGTCGGTTACAAGAAAATATTCTCTTTTAAAGTAGAGCAATGAAGCATCCAATATTTTTTTATAATTAACGAAGCTTGCGTAGCAAAGAGTTATTACTCAGAAGTTTTTTTTTTTTAGTTTTTTTAGGTGCTCCCAGAAGTCCTTGCGGTCTTATCACAGAGCACCGCGGGAGAGCATTTAACAAGAAGTTCACGTCTCCTTCCGTATCAATGTCGCTTGTTAGGCTAGAGCTGGCGTCGAACCTCGGACCTTTGGGTTCTGAGCCAGAACTCTAACACTACGCCACGGCTGCTCTAGTTGAGTTTTGAATACTCTAGTTGAAATTTGAAGTTGAATTTTTCTTTTTGAAAAGTGTGTTGCAACGTACTTTAAAAACCTGATATGGCAAAAAAGCACACATTTTTACATATTTATTAAATAAAAAAACATTATACAACCGTACTCTATGACAAACTTTGAATTAAAAAAAAAAAATCAGTTTTTAAAAAATTTGTTAATTATAAAATTTATAGAAATGTACCACCTTAACTACATACTTAAGACCTGACCTTATAATTAAAGTTAAAAAGTACCGAGTACCCTATTTCGCAGACAGCAGAAGTTAAATACTCTTTATTAGGATCATAATTCTCATTCTAATTATTTCAAATTTTTGTTTGTAATTCTAGCTGGTACCACATCTCAACCTTTTTGAAAGCACAAGAAGCATAAACTAGCATTATTTTCATTGAGTCATAGAACATTGTTTAGAAAAGCGATGAGATAATTATCTGCTAATAAAAATATTTTCAAGAGAGAAACAAAATCAGAAACTTTGAAGATTACTTAAAAGTCTTTAACATGAAAATTTCATGAAAATATTAATATGAAACTAACCCAGTGACAATTTGTGACATAATTATTCAAGTAGTTCCACAACTTGAATGACCATGACACAAATTGCTACTAGGTTAGCTTTTAAGATAAAATTTATAGGTTCTTGCTCATTAATATAGTCAAAATATCCAGTAGGATTTTAAAAAAAAAATCAAAAATTTATAAAAACAGTTTAAAAAGTGCTTCGCTTGTTTCACAACTTTATTGGTGTCAAACCTGCCATTTTTTTGTCCCAAAACCGTATAGGATCCTATAAGTCATTTTTGATGAGGATAGTTTTAGTATTTATAACAAATATTATTAGGTATAAATACCGAGATTTTTTTTGTAGCATGACAATAAAAAAAAAAAAAAAAGAGAAACGGAAAAGGGTTTTATAGAAACAAGTAAAAACAGCGATAAACCAATAAATACATGCAAACCATTTACTAGTAAAAGTATTCAGAAAATAAAACTATGCTTTTTAAAAAACCCAGCATTTATAAAAAAGATATACACGAGCGTTTCGCAAGAATATAGCAACTATTTATTATTGGCGCGTAAATATGACGGAGTAGACGAATGTACGATCATCTACTAATCCGCATTTATTTCTTCTTGATCAGTTCGAGAAATAGATGTTCTTGATATCATCGAAGATAAGTCATTCGAAAGAATCATTGCAGAGAGAATAATTCGAAGACATTCACGAGTGTTCTTGTCGGAAGCACAATAGAGTATTGGTAAATTACCTAAAAATTCACATTATGTCATGTCAACTTGTTCAGAGAATAAACTTAATGAAGTTCTTTACATAATGCTGCACTCACCTTGTTTGCATTCTGTGTGCATATTTGCCCCTCTGTCTACTAAGCCACACACAACATTGGATAATCCTTGTCTAGCGGCAATATGTAATGGACTAAAAGAAAACATTAACAAATTAAAACAAAACTAGGTGTAGTGTGCAGCCACTACATCTAATTGCGTTTGTAATGATTGCTCATATACTTTATTACAGAAAAATTCTAAGAATTTTATGAATGGAATTTTGAAACAGATGAACAAACTACACTAATGTTTTTTTAGGCTGATTTGTTTTTCCATCAAGTAAGATAATTACATGTCTAAATGGTAGTTTATTCTGGTGGAGTTGACATCCAACAAAGTGTAATTTTATATTTATTGTTCTTTTCTAGTTTGACAACTTGACCATTATCTGCACCATTAATTGACGTTCATATATAAAAGTTAACATTTATTAAGTATTCTTTATAATACTGTTTAAAATAATAGACATTTTTACAGTTACTTAATTATATAAATATTAGATAATTTCGTGAGCACGCATATTTTTATATAGGGAAGAGTAGGGCACCATGACACACTTTTGTTTTTTTCTTTGTAACAATTTTTTTAATACGTCTTATTTTTTAGGCGATTGGTTTACTTTGTAGAATAAATTTATACCGGAAAAATAAATTCTATAAATTGCCAAAACATAACAGATTAAACTTGTGAGACTAGTTAAAGTAAAATTGAAAATTTGTTTCAAGGTATCCCACCCATGAGGCACTAAGAACATCATTAAAAAAGTAAATAAAAAGTATAAAATATAGAGAAAAGACGGATTTTTACTTAAAATATAAACAAATTAATATTTATAACCCAAATAATGCATCCAATGGTCCAAATTACATTTCAGAAGACCATATAATATATATTGTTTTGAGTGTTATTCTTAAGCGTCAATAAATAATGGCTTAGTATCGAAATGGGATCTCCTTGTATTATATTTACATAAATCTTTTAAAATTGACGTTAAATATTAAAAGAAATGATGTTTAGAATTGTTTATGACATAATAGAGTTTTAGTCCCCCCCCCCCCCCAAAAAAAAAAAGGTTGTATCAACATACTTGCTAATAGAAAACAATCGCTTTATTTTTAGTATCAATATGTTTTTTCAATGATTTTGCTGAAATAAAAAGCTTATAGATTGTAGCTTACAAAATGTTATTACCGATAGACACATTGAATAAAATACCTTAAAACTTATGAGCATTAAAAACTAATAAATTACTTTGTCATCAAAAAAAACACAAATTTCGACCCCTGGCAGAACTAATGATGCCAAATGATATATTTTTTCCAAAACATAGCTGTAGTAGTAACTGTTTCACTATATGAAAGTGGTTGTCACAATTCTAAAGATGCCTCTCCAGTTACAATATTTCATGGTGCCCTACTCTCCTCTACGTCATTGTTACTTATGCGCAGAATCGCATGAAAAAAAGTACTTACGCAAATAAATTAAGATTTTTTACGTGAGTCTCTTTTTTTTCTCATAACAAATCCGTTCAGCTTCATATCATCCCTTCAGTTTCATAACAAATCCCTTCAGCTTCATATAAGACTGTTTTAATTATTTCAAGTCTAAAATTTTTACTGTTTATACGTTTGTATTTTAGAATATTTGTGATTATAGAAGAAATAAATTTAGAATGATCACGTGTAGTGAAAAAGAGTATTAATATTGAGGTATAAAACGATTTAATAAATGACATATTTGAGAAATATCTTAAAAGTAATACTGACTAGTTTCCGCAGAATATGATGCCTTATATTCTGCGGAAACTTTCAGTTAATATATTTGCTTCAAGTTTTTAAAAAGTAGATACTATGCATCAAATGAAGTTTTTTCAATTAACAGTAATAAAAAAAAAACTTACGTCAACCCGAGTGAATTTGGAAAACTAACATACTGATCTTGAATTCGTTCAAGAACGTGTAATGCGCACGTCTGATGATTCTATTTAAAAACATTTGCTACAATAGAACTCATTCAAAAGATTTAGAACTCAAATAAAATTTGTTAATCATTAAAATCACTTACATTCATACAAGACAGATGTAACACCGTATTTCCATCCTTGTCAACGAGATTAACGTTTGCTTTACTTTCCATTAAAGCATCTAATAAAAACAATGTTCAAATTTAACTTTATTAAATTTTTTAATTATTAGGACCTCAAAAGATGTAATTATTGGTACCTTATAACATAATTATTAGGATCTTATAACATATAATTATTTTAGGCTTATAACATGTAACTATAAAGATCTAAGAATATATAATTGTGGGGTAAAAACTATTGAGACCTTATAACATGTTATTGTTAAACTTTGTATATCAACTTTATATTAACATTGCAATTATTAAGATCTTATTAGGACTCTTAATAAAAAAATTATTAGGACTTTTAAAGAACTTTAAATTCATATTTCAGCAATTTTACAGGGTAGCTGATTGACTCACAGGGTAGCTGATTGGCTCACAACATATGTGGCTCTAACACACTTGCTTTTGAGGTTTTACAAATCAAGACAATAAGTATTAAGTTTGATTATAATAAAGATGGTTTACCTAAAGTAAATCATGTATGTAGTAAAGAACATTCATATCATTTCTAGAGTTCTATTATAATATAAGTTACAAAAATTATGTTTAGATTTTTAAAATAACAATCGTTTAACTTTATTTTATAAATTTTACAACTCCAAAAAGTTCAACTACATGTAATTGGCATTTATAAACAAAGATATCATTGTATTTAAATTGACATATTTCAAAGGATAAATTAAATGATGACGAATTGCGATAGGCTAAATGACGGCAAATTGCAATTGGCTAAAGACATTTAGTGATCTTGAAAGTATATTATTTGAAGCAAGAGTATCACCTAGAAATATTTGCTTTTCTTTTATTTGCTTTTGAAGTTGATTAAAGTAGCAATGCAGTTTTATTTACCCCATTTTTTAAATTTTGGCATATAACAATAATTTTTATCACAGATTTGTTTTACCTGGATTAATATCTGTTTTATTCAAATAACATTTAAAACATGTTATTTTTAAGAGTCTTAGTGAATTTTGCTATTTTTGTTGCAGTAAATTTGTTGTTTATCTGCAAAAATTTTCGCAACCTGGTAAATTTGAGTAAACTTACCTCTTGCATATTTATTCTAGTTAAGTTGTTTTTTGACAGTGATCAAATTTGATGTAAAAAAAATTAATAAATTCTGACTGTTTTCTTCTAAGATTTTATTTAAAGCAAAACCTAGAAATATTTTTGTTGTTTTTTTAAATTGAGTAAATTCTTTCAGAAAAGTTTTGTAATTTTAAAAAAAAAGAATTTTTCAACAAAAATACATAAGTTTTAGTAACTGATAGGGTCTAAGTTATTTTAAATGTAACAATTTACACTCCTATTTAGAGAAGTTGAAATAATTATTTTTAAAGAATCTTATATTTCTCTTAACTTTGGCATAAATGATGGTGGAAAGTGGCGGAGAGTGGAGAGATATAATAGTAAGTAATTAAAGCAGAGTTGTTAACAAGGCCAAAAATAGCAAGGTCAAGGCTGAGACCAAGGCCAAGAGTTTCAAGACAAAGGCCAAGGCCAAAATTTTCAAGGTCAAGAACAAGAGTTTTAAGGCCAAAACCTACCCAAACTTTTTCAAAGACTTAAATTTTGGCCTTATGTTAAGACGAGTTATTAACAAAACTGCAGGTAGCAAGTGCTGTGACAATAAAACTACATATTGTGAAATTAGACCAAGGTTATACACATAATTAGATAAAATCAATAAGAAAATCTATTTGTAGATATATGTGAAAGCCAAAAACAATAGTTTTAAAAATTAAATCTTGAACAACAGCATAAAGTAAATAAATTTACCGAGAGCGTTAAAATTTCCATGTTTTGAAGCAATCATTATAGGAGTTTGATTGTGCTTATCTATTGCATTTACATCAGCACCACGTTCAATAAGCAACTGAATGAAATCTGTATGGTCATTAAATGCTGCAGCGTGTAGAGGTGTTCTTTAAAAATAAACAAATAATATGAAATTGAACATTTTTTTTGCATTAGTGTAGATATATAAAAAAGAATATTATAACAAGAATTTTATCAAAAAAAAAATTCAGTTAAAAAAAAATAATTTAAGAACCTTCCTTTTGAGTCAACTAATTTTATAACATCATTACCCAACGCATCGATTAAAACTTCTAAACATGCCTCATTACCCCTGATTCTAAAATAAAATAACAACTTTATGTTACTGCAGCTAAGAGCAGTCTGCATAATAATTACAAACTTAAAAAAAATACTAACGCTGCACAATGAATAGGTGAAAAAGGATTTCCATTCAAAGCAGTTTGTGAATTTTCCTTAAAAAGACATTTTATTAATATCATGCAGTATGTTCAATAAATTATAAGATTCTTATTTTTGAGATAAAAATGCAGATAATTTTGCGATAAATGCAGGATATATATATATATATATATATATATATATATATATATATATATATATATATATATTGTTTTAAGTAACATTGTTAATAATAAAATGAATTTATAAAAAATGATAAAAAATTACAATGTTCAGTTATATAATTTTTATTATTTTATAGTGATATTTAAGCTCATATAGTTTAAGCCATTATCAAATGCAGTAGTGGTGTAGTGGTAGAGCGCTCGCTTCATAAACGAGTGGTTTCGAGTTTGATTCCCACCACGTCCCTGGTAGTACCGCAGTCAACTTGTTTTTCCGCGCAGCGGTCTTGTTTATCAAGGTTTGTGTTTCGGAGTTATAGAGTTGAGAAAGGGTTATAACCACAAATAAGTAGCCTCCTTGTCTGTAGTGGCCTTCTCGGCCTTGAGGAGGTGAATTAAATAAAAAAAAAAAAAAAAACTGAAAAAACCTTTATACAAATTTATAAAATTAAAACAAAAATGATGTTTATGCAATGTAACAGACTTAGACTAGTTAAGTATAATAAAAAATGGTAGTTTAGCAATGACACGCCATTGGTCTCCAATGGTTGTTATCACTAAACTACCATTGTCGCGACTTATAGACTTTTTCCTGCAATCTTAAGCATTGAAAATGCTGTATCTAAATTGCTTAACAAATCTTATGCATATAGCTATTAGGCATAACAGAAATTTATTTTTTGTATAGTCGAACATGCGCAACTTACCTGACCCACCCCAATTGTCTTTAGTCATGTTTCTTTCATATTTATTAATGGGTGTGGATATTTTCTTCCTCATTTCACCAGTGTAACTCACATCACATGAACAACTGATAAACACCCCATACAAACTGATGAACACATAACTATTGGAATGCAATATCAATTTATTACGACAAAATGTTAAGTAAAGAATTACCATAATGAAAAACGTTTTTTATACCTACTCCACAAAACTCTTGTTTAAGTATAATGCTTAGTTATGCTATCAATGGCAGTATGATAATTTTCAAGGGTCTATTTGTTGGTCTTAAGCATTTTTAAGTGATAGTTTAACTTCTTGGAGATATCTGATAATTGTTTGTATGAGTGTCCATTTAGGAAACACACATTAACAAGAAACTCAATTTCATTCTTAATATTCTGAACATATTTTATATGCTCTTGAAAAAAACCTTTAAAAATTGTTATATTTAGTGCAATTAATGAATGTAGTTTAATTAATACATTAGTAATTGCTTGCTTACAATTTCTACAACCTTTTATGTGGCAATGAATGGATATTGCAACCAAATAGTTATCTGGGTGTTTACTAGTTAGATTGCTTATGTGATGTGAGTTAGTAGAACTAGAAAGAAAATATCTACAAGCATTAATAAACTTGAGAGAAACATAATTAAATGCAACTAGGTATAGTCATCAGGTATAGTCACAACAACACGTTCAACATTGTAGTAGTACAATTACCTGGACCAAAAAATAATTTTTGTTATGCCTAAAAACTATATGCATAAGGTTCGTGAATTTGAGATACAGCGCTTGCAATACTCAAGATTGAAGGAGAAAGTCTTAAATTAGGACAATGGTAATTACGCTACAATTACCATTGAACAAAAAAATCATTGCTAAGTATTTTGTTTTTCTTGAAAAAAAAAATTAAAAATCTTTTTTGATAACTTACTTCAAGAAGAAGTTCTGTGCAACTTTCATTTCCTGTTTTGAAAGAAAACAGTTTAAAAAAAAAATCAAACATCTTTATTTCATATCTAAAAAAAAGTTTTGACAAATATTATACCCATGTAACATGCCCAATGCAAAGCAGAATACTTTTTAGCATCTAGGTTGTATGCTAGTCCACCAGATTGGATCAATGTACCAAGAATACCAATATGATCACATATAGCTGAATAAATTATAGGTGTGCGACCATGAATGTCCCTAAATAGTAATTACAGTAAAATAAAGAAAAATATGTACATAAAATTTCAAAATATTTTATCCCAACTTTTCCCTAATTTTATAGCTTTAAAAAAATTGAAATCTACTTAGTTTGTATAAAAATTTAAAGCAAACTTGCATAAATTGTTGTAATCTTCTTTTTAAAAATAATTCAGTATTTATTTTTAGCATTTTTTTTATTTATACATATTAAAATAATTGAAGTATTATTAGAAGCAAAAAATAATTTAATTACTTTTTAAAGACAAAATTTTCCAGGATTTATTTTTATAAAAATTATTTTACACTATATAAATGTATAAAAATTAAGAAAAATTCTTTCAAAAATTAAAAAATCTTTTTCCTATATTTACTTAAGCCTTCCTTAGTCGGAAGCAGGCCTGTGGCATTTTTTCAAAAAGCTTTTTATGATATATATACATACATAAATATACACACACAGAGAAATAAGTTTTAGAGAAATAAGTATCAGAGCAAAACATTTTATTGCGAAAAATAAACTTTGTTAGGTTATTTCAGAAAAAAATTTGTTTTTAATAAACACTTTTATAATTATTCTGAAATTTCATCACAATTTTAAATAAATCTACTTTAATCAACTTGCATTGCTAAAAACTAATGACTCCCTAAGGAGTGTTAAAACTTTAACAAAAGATAATTATTCAAATATGTTGTTTTGTAAACGAAGTTTTGATTAATAAAAAAAGGTTTTCAAACCAATAGTTACAGAAATACTGTTGTTTAATAACCAGTAACTTTTAATAACTGATTGATATTTTTCAAATTCATTTGACTTACTGTTGATTTCATAAAGTATGGAAGTTAAAATAATGTAATGGTCACAAACTCAATTTAGTTATTGGCTTGTTCAAGCAAGGTAAAATATTTAGGTCGATAAATAAAGAAACTAGAATGACATTAGGAACCATCAGCGATCTGATTAAAAAGTAAAAAACATTTGCATACTTTCAAAATTAGCGAAGATTCAGTGCTATGTGTAAAACAGCATCTAGAATTTATAGACAAATTGTCAAGAGAAAAAATAACAGTTTTTATCAGCAACAAAAGCATCAAGCCTTCTTGAAAAACATTTTGGAATACAAGTGAGCGAATGTACTATTCAAAATCGATCAAAAGAAAGTGAATTTAGAGCAAGAGTTCCTCAAGAAACCATTTTATTCAAAAACCCATTGATAACAAAGACTTAATTAGCATTTACATAATATGCTAGTATCATTCTGTATCTAAGTTATGTGGGCTGATGAGTTAAAATTTAATCTTGTAAAATCCAATGGAGCTCAAAAAATATGGAGAAAATAAAGGTGAAGCATTCGCACTCAGTTGCATTTGAGGAACAATAAAATTGAGTGGAGGAAATGTTGTGGTCCTGGGATCAATGGCTTGGAATGGAACAGTAAAACTAGAGTTTATTGATGGAATCATGGACTCAGAGGTTTATGTTAACATTCTCAATAAAAATCTTCTGGCCACAACTAAAAAAGGTTGGGAAAGCATTTTATCCCCTAACAAGACAACAACCCTTAGCATCAAAGAAAGTAAAAGAGTTTTTTTTTATCCAGAAGCAGATTGATTTACTTGAATGGCTGGCTCAAAGTCCAGAGCTTAATCCAATTGAACATCTCTGGGCATTTCTGGATTGAAAATGTGACACACAATGTCTAAAAAGAAGAGAAGAGCAATTGATCATTCTCCAGGAAGCTTGGACTCATATCAATTTAGATATGACAAATAATTTAGTTGAATCATTGCCATTGTAGACTTGCAGAAGTCATAAAAGCTAAAGGTTATAAAAGCTATAACGTTTATTTTGACATGTTTTATAAGTAAAAAAAAACATAAAAAAAAAATCCTCAATTATACAACTGGCTTGAGGTTTGTCACAAGTACATAAAAATATTCATAAATGTATACTCATTCTGCATTCAATGCCAAAAGCAAAACCAATGTTGAGAGTGAAAAAAAGCTTATAATTTTTTGTTGTTGTTGAATTCCTCTCATTTAAACTAAACAATATACCTAGCATTTGGATCAGCCCCAGCATTAAGCAGTGCATCAACACATTCTTCATGACCACATATAGCCTAAAAAAATTCAAGTAAATGAATAAAACTTTAAATATATATTATTATTTACTGTTTAATTTTCTAAACTGATAAATTTTTATAATTATTGTTATATAATTTTCACAACATATTTAATATAAAAACTAAATTTACAACAATACTTTTATAACCTTCTTTTTTTTTTTTAACTGTTACCATTCTTTTTATAATAATGCTTTATCATAAACTGTTAAATTATTTGCTTTTAATAATTTTTTTTTTTTACAATTTTTAATTTTAATTGCTTTTAGTTATCAAAATTTTAGTATATATAAATTTTAATTATTATTTATTATTACTTTGAAAGTCATTATTTGTACAGGCAAATAAAAAGCCCACAAAAAAGATACTTTTGTAAGCAAAAATTAGGCACTGACTTAAATAGGTGGAAGTGGAATGTATATTATTTTATTGCACTGCTATAGTTTGATATAAATTTGTATAAACTTTGGTATAAAAACTGTTAAATAACAGTGACTAAACAGACAAATAACTTTCTAACACTATTTAAATACTTCTTTAGAAATAAGTTAGTGTCGTGGTGCAGGTTATATTAACATCAACCCTCGGAATTAGGAAAAATGAGATCAGCAATAATTTTTAGACCTCAATCTTTTAGAGGTCAGCAAAAAAAAATTTGATACAAAGGTCTTACCATAAAACATAGAAGGGGGTCAGCAATTTTTTACCGACCTCAAACACTTTTAGTTCGGCAATTAAGTCAGCATTGTCGAATGCCGACCCTAATTCTGAAGGTTATATTAACATTATAATATTTAATGCATATTAACTATTAATGTTATTTAATAATTATTATATCATTTTAATTTAATAATTATATATATTTTTTAATATATTGATATATCGGCTATATCATTAACTCATAAAGCTGTAAACATAGCAAATTTTACATTAATTAACCAAAATTTAAGTCAATTTAAAAAGTCAATTCCAATTTATGTTAAATTAGTATGGCCACAGTAAAGTGCACATTAACTGTTAAGGGTATATGTTTTTAACTAGGTTAAATGTCAATCACAACACTGTTATTGAAACTGTTAGGGGGTTTAGTGCTGTGATACAACATTTTAATCATAAACTAAATCATGAACTAAATATGCGAACAGAGTTCAAATAACCATATTTAGGCATTTTTGACAATTGTGATCTGTGAAGATATTCTAAGTTAAACTTAGATGACAGCAAAAAGAGTAATTTGTTAGATATACTTAAAGAAAATTTTTTATAAAAATTTAACCAATTTGGGGGTCAGGTTCCTACTGTTTATTGATAGGATGTTTAGTACTTAAAAACAAGTATTTGATCAAATTTGGATTTAAAATAACATTAGTATAATAAAATAATAAGAAAAAAATCCTAATGGTTTGATATTGCATTTATTTGATATTACATATATATATATGTATATATTGCATATATACATATATTTAAAGATAAAAAGTAAAAACAGTATGTTAACAACTTCATGACTAATCATATATAAGATTTTCAAACATATCATCAAAATATCTCTCTGGTTTCAAAAACAAAAGCTCATAAAATCTGCTTATGTGCTCATTTGAAAAACAATCATTTCATTACTCTGGGGTATGAAAATGGATAATTCAGTTTAAAACACCAGGATCAGATCTCTCTAAAAGATGACTTACCATCTGTAAACTGTTCTAAATGTGATGTCTTACGAGAAGAAAGCTTTAAATACTTTCTTAACTCTAAATAGTTTCTTATATATACTGCTTGCTTCTAGACCTTCCTTAGATAATTTGCCAAGACCATAACCATCATTAAGAATAACTAACTCAGCTGAGTGATGAAGGACTCCATGAAGGGTGTAACTAATTTATGCCCATGGCATATTTGTAATTATGTTAAGTGTAACATTATCACAACTCTTTTGAAATTTGTCCATTTTAACTTTATGCTGACAAGAAACTATATGAAGTATTACACTGAGTGTTAAAGTTGTTTATATAATTGACAAGTTCCTGTGTTCTCTCCTTTTTTATCTTATCATCCAGTTTTGTAAATAATTTTCTTTGTTTTAAAAAACACGGTTCTGTTATGTAAGTCTCCTCTACTTTATTATTAATATCTTTTGATGCTTGTGAAAGTATAAATACATTTTCTTTTAAACATAACATTTCCATACTTTTTCACACATATTTTCAAACTCCTGTGAATTAACTCTAAAGTTTTTAAAAAGTCTTTAATGATTGAAGTTATTGAGTTAGACTTGCTTTGTCAGCTTTAACGAATTGTATGAAAAAAACTATTTCAGTGAAGCATTTTACATTTTTATTTTCCTCCATTACATTAACTTTTTACTTATGCTAAAACACAAACAAAATAAAATAAAATAAATAAAAGTTAAACATTTTTGATATTTGTAATCATAATAAAATACAATAAATATCTACATAATTAAAAAAACAACAACTTGTAAACCATATAAATGGTTTATAAGTTCATTTCCCTCGTAGAATAATAAAAAAAATGTTTTTATAATATATGACACAGTAGAGGTAAGTTAGCACTTTTATAATGTATGACACAGTGGAGGTAAGTTAGCACTTTTATAATATATGACACAGTAGAGGTAAGTTAGCACTTTTATAATATATGACACAGTAGAGGTAAGTTAGCACTTTTAACATAACTTATAATTTAATCAGATTTTTTTTAAAAACAGCAACACAAATTTATAAAAAAAACCACACAAAAAATGTAGTTAAAACAAACAACACATTTTAAATTAATTTATTCAAAAATATATTTATATTAAATTAAAAACAACTTTTAGATATGCTGTTTACCAATTTGCATGTTAGTAAAACCAGTTTCAATGAAACCATCCAAATTTACATCCAAATATTTTTACATAAAAAATTTGGAAATTCACTAACTTCAATATTACATTTCATCACTTGAAAATTAGCTAGAAACATAATCTTTTTTTATTTATCTCCAAATTTATATAACTCTCTAAATAAATATTTTTTATAGACATTCTCGAAAAAATATTTTTGGTCTATTTCCACCTCTGGGTCCATTGTAACAAATCATCCCAAAATCACTAACCCCTCCCCCACCCCCTATTAAATGACACAATTTGTAGACACCCACTAATATTATTGACTTCTAATTTTTTGACTTATGATACTTACTTTATTTATATAATTATGCTAACATGATTGATTTTTGAAATTTAAACTATGATTGACTTTTAAAATCTAATATTTTGAATTAAACAAGAATGCTATTCTTATTTCATGAATATGAAACTGAATAACTAATTATACCTTGTTAAAATATCCACATCCAACAAAATTGGCAGGCTGAGTACATGGTACAAAGGCTTTTTTTTTTTGAAGCATTTTTTTTTAAGATGAACTTTCAAAGCACCTAGTTTGATCACAAAACACCATCTTTTAAACAAGTTGAAACATTTTGAATACAATTGGTTTGGGAAAAATTGTAGTTTTACTAAGTTTAGACAACATTGAAATAGCATTATATTTTCATTGAAATAGCATCATATTTTTATTGAAATATCATACTTTCATATTAAAAAAACTTTTTAAGACAGATTTGCAGCTCTTGAAACGCTTTCAAATTTAAAATATTAATTAGAACAAGTTTTTATTTACAGGCTTTTAATTTTCATCCCTTTATTTAATTACCAACAAGAATAGAGAATCATTCAGAAATTTTAATTGATTAATCAATTCAATAATTGATTAATCAATTCAATAATTGATTAATCAATTCAATAATTGATTAATCAATTCAATAATTGATTAATCAATTCAATAATTGATTAATCAATTCAATAATTGATTAATCAATTCAATAATTGATTAATCAATTCAATAATTGATTAATCAATTCAATAATTGATTAATCAATTCAATAATTGATTAATCAATTCAATAATTGATTAATCAATTCAATAATTGATTAATCAATTCAATAATTGATTAATCAATTCAATAATTGATTAATCAATTCAATAATTGATTAATCAATTCAATAATTGATTAATCAATTCAATAATTGATTAATCAATTCAATAATTGATTAATCAATTCAATAATTGATTAATCAATTCAATAATTGATTAATCAATTCAATAATTGATTAATCAATTCAATAATTGATTAATCAATTCAATAATTGATTAATCAATTCAATAATCGATTAATCAATTCAATAATTGATTAATCAATTCAATAAACGTCCTTGATATGTTAACTGTTGTTTAAAATTTTTTATCAATGTATACAATGATTTTTGAGAAATAGAACATTTGTTAAAATACAACTAAAAAAATCATTATTTGCTAGTAGATTTACTTGATGATCTTGGTGGTTTTGCCTGAAGTGCCAAAATTTGATTTGTAATTATACAAGAAAATATAGATGGTGGATATTTAGGTTTTAACTTTCCAATAAACTAAAACTTTTTAATAATCTTTAGGTCAAGAATCTTCATAAAAAAAAATATTTGGGCTGTCTGAAATTACGTCTGGAATATTTTCTTGAAGTATAGCACTTTTTTGTTCATCCAAATTTTTTTATTTGGAAAGATGCTTTTATAAGCATCTGTTTAAAAAGGATATTCTATTAATTTAATTGTTTAGATCTAAGAAAAAAGAAAATTTAATATACGTAATAAAATTATATATATTATTAAATTTAATATACATTATTAAATTATATATACAGCGAATAAAAATTAAAAGACCATGTTCTTTAACTTGAATATTTCTGTGCCATACGATAAAAAAACAAAAAACAACAACAACAAAAAAAAAACAACAACATGCTAACAGTTTTTCTAAAGCTGTATTTTTACACAGCCTGTCACTTAAGTGGGCCAGGATTCTATCTAATATAAAATGCTTAAGCCCAAAAAAATTTTCAGGAGAACAATTAAAAAAAAAACCTTCTACCCAAAAAATATCAATAATTTTTATTGACGAAATACTTAAGCATCTAACACCATCTAGCATCTAACATCATCAACATCATTGAGCATATAAGGTTAAATAAAAGGATATATTAAAAAATTCTTTTGAAACTAAAATGCAAAATAAAGTTTTATATTAATTTTTGTTTTTCAATTTTTATATTTAGCTTTCACAATATCGTCAGTATACAAGGAAAATGTTCAAAGCCCATTTTTGGCAGTATGGAGTTAGTTATACCACTATTTAGTATTTTAAATTCTCTATTGTTTGATATACCACACAAATTTAATAAATCAATTATTAGTGAGTTATTATGATTTTTTATTTCAACTATTACACACATGCTTATTATTTTAACTATTACGCAAAAACTTATTTGTTCATTATCTCAAAATGATGTTTTTGGACTTGCATTTCCCTTGTACGCCAACGATATAAAGCAGATAAAATAATTGGGCGCAGAATTATTGTTCCTTTCTAGATAAACAGCAATAGAATTTATTATGTAGTCAATTAGACTCCAAAATACTTTCAAATGCAAAAAAAGTACAAAAAAAAGTTAATAAAAATAAAATTTGGTTGAAACAGTAAAATAATAAAAATATAAAAATCAAATACTAAAAATAGAAAAAAAACACAATACTAATACATTTATAACTTACATATACAACTTCTACTTAAAACTTCTACTTACTCCTCTATGAGTTGCAGTCATCCCATTAACATCAACAGCATTAGGATTAGCTGATTGTTCTAATAAAAATAATACGCTATCTCTATGTCCATTCATAACAGCTAACATAAGTGGCGTTCTGAACATGTATTAAAAATTTAAATATATAAAAAAATTAATTAATATAAAAATTTAAAATAATACTTAAATACACAAAACACTTAAAATAAAAAATTATTTGTGCACATGCAAACCTATCTTGGCCATCCAAACAATCTACAACTCCTTCAGCTTCAGCATTTTTGAGAAGTAACTTTAAACATTCAGTATGTCCGTTGTATGCTTAAAAAATATAAACATGTAATGATATCTTACACTTAAATTCTAAACAGCTATGAATAAATTTATGTTAAAATGTTTATAAGCATGAAACTATTACTACCAAAAAAGTTTCTATAAATTTTCCCTACATTATGAATTATGCTGCATTATTATTTAGATATTTTCCACATATAATTTAGTGTAAATAACTAAATTAATTGCAGTGGTACATAAAGTTTTAGTGTTTTTAAAATAATAGTTTATTTTTAAAAAACTACATAACTAGCAACTTAAATGATTAGAACTGGATTGATAGTTTAAAGTTGTTATGAGAAATACTTCATATTATAGTTGTTATGAGAAATAGTTCATGTTATAGTTGATAAAAAAAATAAGTAATTGACTGTTAAGAAACAATTCATAAACAATTCCTGCCTTTAAAAAGAAAAGTTGTTTTCTTTTTAAAGGCAGGAATTGTTTATGAATTGTGAGAAAGCGATCATAAGACAATAATGTTTATGAATGTGTTAAGAAATAAATAGTATAAGTTTTTTAAAATAAGGAATTTTTTTTCTTCCTTTAAAATGCATGAACTTTATTGATAACTTTTTTTTATAAAAATATTGTTTAATTTAAAGATAGTAAACTCTTGATATCTCAAATGCCTGATATCTCAAACTTTTTTTGAAGCCCCAAATGGACTAAAGATAGACTTTGTTTGAGATATTGATAGGATTTTAGACTACAATCCTATCAATATCTCAAACCTTTAAATCTCAAATTGTTTTGGTATCTCAAACAATATTTTTGGTCTACCAGACAATTTTCTCTCATTATCTCAAACTTTTCAGCAATTTTCTTCAAGAAATGTTTTTCAAGAAATGTTTTAATAACATTTAATTTTTTTATATTTCAATTTTTGAAAAGTATTGCTATGAAATTTTTTAAAATACGATTTTTTTTTATGAACCGAATTTATGAAAAGTATTCCTTTAAAAGATTAATTTATTGTTTTTGTCAAACATGATAACATGCGTCTCATTAAAAAGGCATTAAAAGACTTGGAGAAAGGGATATCTAACAAAAAGGTTGCCCAAAATTATAGTGTCTCAAAGAACACAATATCAACTTGGGTTAAAAATAAAAATAAAAAATTAACTACGCTGGAAAAAAATATCACAAAATCTAAACGGAAGAAACTTCGTAGTGGTAATTTCAAAAATGTAGACAAGGCCATATGTGCTTTGTCTCAAAAAGGATTTAACAAGTACCAATTGATGGCACCATACGGAAAAAAAAGGCACTAAACTCGCATTAGGAGAGATTTTAAAGCATCTGATTTTTGTTAATTTGACTATGTGTTAATGAGTTGTAATTTTTTACAGAAATAATAATTAAAGAATTTGAATATTATCATTAACTAACCTGCTGCATGCAAAGCTGTCCTTTTGGATTTATGTGAATAAACTAAAACATCAGTCTGACTTTCACTTGCTAACAGTAGATTTACACAGCCTGTGTGACCAGCATATGAGGCCAAATCAAGTGCAGTACAACCATTATCATCATTAGCATTCAGATTTTTATAATGAGGCATAAGAGCAGATAATGCTTGCTCATGACCATAAAACGCTGCAAAATGCAAAGGAGTTGTAAGGGATGTAACTGTATCAGACTTTTTGCCAACTTTTTCTTTTTCTTCAAAAACATCTAATAACTAAAAACAATTTTATTGCGGACATTAAAAACAATTGAACTTTTTTATATAAAATGTGTACATATATTACATTACATATCAAAACTTTCACACAATACACTATATATATAAAAAAATTAAAGCACACAACATTACAGGTAGCAATACTGGTTTACCAGCTAATTAAATCGAAATTTATAATTTTATTACCGGTAATTAGGTAGGTCCTTACTGGTAAAATCAGTATAAATTAAAAAAAACAACTTAAAAACCACGATAATCCATCCTATAAGAAACTACATTTATGGATAAAAATTTGCCATGAAATTAATTTTTACAAGTAAAAAATGGAAATGCAGGTCAATGCTAGAATTGTTCATAAACAGTTCAAACTTCTGGCAGCATTACAAATGGTATGCACACATACCTTCAAACACAACAAAAATCAACCTTTTAAGAAAAAATAAAAGAACAAAATAAAACAACAACTCAACAATAAACACATTTACAAACTTAAACAACTCTAATTTTCAAAACACTTCAAAAAATTAGTGGATGACCATTTGGTGCAGTTGCTGATTAAAGGCATAAGATGCTTTACTATTTGTTTACTGTCATGGGTAAAATGCAGATTGTTTAAATGCAGAAATTTTCGACAGTAAAATGCGGGAACTTCTTAAAAAAAGCAAAGTTTTTATAACTAAAGAATATTTTACAAAAATAATATTTTATTAGGCTTTATTATGGATTTAAAATTATGGTTTTAAACAGTATACAAAAAAATAAATATATTAACTTTTTTTACAATAACTTTTTTAAAGATGTTTTCACAAAGCATGATTACTACTTTTAAAATTCGTATAAAATTTTGTTTCTAGATATAAAGATTTCTTTATTTGAAAGCTTTTGTGATATATACATACATACATACATACATATAGAAAAATATTTTTGTAATTTAATAGTTTTGATTTTAGATTTGAATAATTGAAAACATTTAATTATCTGTTATAATTATATAAACCATTCTAACGTAAAGATAAATAAGAGATTTCAATACAAAATATGCTTTACAAAAAAAAAAGTAACTTTGAGACAAGTGAACCTTATGAAAAAAGCTTATTATCAGTTAACCTTTGTTAAAAAAAAAAGAGTGTTTTGTAAGAGCAAACTAATCTTATGCTCAATTGTATTAGATTCAAACTTTCGAACCTGCAATAGCTTCTCCAAGTTTATGACTCAGGTTCATAAAATAGTTCCAGGGCATCAAGCTGCAATAAGAAATAGATAATTTTATAAGCTTTGATTTACCATCAAGCTGCAATAAGAAATAGATAATTTTATAAGCTTTGATTTACCAAAAATACTTTTAAATCTTCTTGCAGATGAGTATTATTTTGGTTTGACATTTAAAAAAAATATATTTTTGTAAACCTTCAAAGTTTTTTCTAATTGTTAAAAATAGATGTTGAAACTATTGCATAAAATAAACAGCGTAATTTTTTAAAACATAAATAAGAAGAGTGCTTCTTAGAAAACAATATTAAAAGTAAATAATTTGTGATGCATGCTTTTGTTGCCTGAAATGACATTTGAGTTTAAATTAGTTTGTAATTACCCTAACAAGATTACCTAAGTGAGATTACTTTACAAGATAATGTACATATAATGTGTGCATTTATGAGTAAACATTTTTATTTAATAGCATTTTTTTTTTTTTTAAATAACAGTACTTATTAAATGCAAAAAATTTATTAAATAAAAAAAATTTAAAAGCAATGTTGGAGGCCTACCATCTGAATTGTTCCTTTATGTCCATTTAGTGCTGCATAATGTAGTGCAACAAAACCTCGCTTGTCTTGTTTATTTCCATCAGCTCCATTTTTCAAAAGAAGTTCAACAGTTCTAAAAAATTTTATGTCCTTATCATTCAATTTAGTTAATTAAGCATATACATAGTATACATACATACATATGTACATATGTACATACATGCATGCACCTTTCAGTACCAGGTTGATCTACTTTTAAATAACTTTTTTTTTTTTAATATTATGACTCCGTTGAAAACTGAATTAGCTGTTATTAAATATAGGAAAAATGCTTTGAAATTTTTAAGGAATTATTTTATCAATTGATAACATTTAATTTAAACATTTAATTTTTTGATATATATATAATTTTTTGATATATATATATATATATATATTTTTTTTTTTTTATTTTAATTCACCTCCTCAAGGCCGAGAAGGCCACTACAGACGAGGAGGCTACTTATTTGTGGTTATAACCCTCTCTCAACTCTATAACTCCGAAACACGAACCTTGACGAACAAGGCCGCTGCGCTGAGAAACGAGTTAAGCGCGGTACTACCAGGGACGTGGTGGGGATCGAACTCGGAACCACTCGTTTATGAAGCGAGCGCTCTACCACTACACCACTACCGCATATATATATATATATATATATATATATATTATATATATATATATATATATATATATATATAAAGGGCTCAAAATAATGAACTTCTTCCGGACGATTTGTCTGATAAATACTCATGTTTGAAAGACATGTTTGATAAAAATTAAAGTGCAATTGAACGCCATTCCTGACTTATATTAATATTGGTCAGGAATGGCGGAGGAATTAATATGTGGTCAAGTTATAAAAAACAAAATATTTTGTTTTTTATAACTTGACCACACAATTTTTTTTCCAACTCTAGGCATTTCAAAATGCACTGAAAATAAAAAGAAAATTTGTAAGATAATTTATCTAACAAAAAGATAAAAAAATCTAAGATCAAAATAATAAAATTTGAAAAGGAAAATTTATTTTACTATTTATATTACGCTTTTTAAAAATTACTATACTATGCAAAATAGTTTGTAAATTATTAAATATTATGTAAATATATTTAACACATAAATTATGCAATTATTAAATTCATAATTCAATTTATAATAAAAATGTATAATAAAAATACAAAATTATTAAATACATAAATTATTAAGTTTATTTATTACTTTATTAAATAAAGTAATAAATTAATTATGTTTACAAAAAACCCATTTTATTTAAATTATTAAAGAATATTGTATGCATTATTTTATAAATCTTTTCAAGTTTTTTCTAGGATTAATTTTATAAACATTTTTGAGAGCAAAAATTTTTAGCACGAAAACAATCCTTACGTAACAACTCAAATTTAAAAGTGTAATAAAAAGTACTGGTTTCTATAAGCGCTAAATATTTTATTAAAAAAATAAGAAAGGGGTTTTTAAAGCTAAAATATTTGTTTGAAATTTATAAAATCCATCGGACTAAAAATAAAATAAATACTAAACTATAAATTAAAATTAATTGTAACGTTTTAATATAAATAATAAAAACCGGGCTTCTTAATTCAAAAAAAAACAAAACGTAATGCTTAAACATCTTTTAATAAATGAATCAACTCAAAAAAATGATGTATTTTATTAACGAGCCATGTGTTCAACTTCAATTTTTGTTTTGCATAAAAAATAAATAGTATGGGTCGGACAAAATGACCGATAGATGTTGTTTTTTACCGAACAAGTGCCTGGAAATGTCTGATGTCCTTAATTTGAGCCCTACAAATATATATATATATATATATATATATATATATATATATATATATATATATATATATATATATATATATATATATATATATATATATATATATATATATATATATATACATACACACACACATATATTCAACCCTTACAATTAAGAAAAATAAGGTTGACAATAATTTGCTGATTTCAATTTTTTAGAGGTTGGCATCAGGTCAGCAAAGAAATTTGATACACAGGTATCAAATTTTTTTGATACCTGTGTATCATCTTTTTGATACCTGTGTATCATATATACATATATATATATATATATATATATATATATATATATATATATATATATATATATATATATATATATATATATATATATATATATAGTCACACACACATATATACATATGTAAAAATAACACACACACTGTATATGTATTGCATATGCATATATTAACAATGAATGATACAACTAAATGTATACTCATAAGTTGATGTAACTCATTATTACATTTATTTAAAGGTATTTCTAAGATAATGACTTACAATCCATCTTTATCTTTAGCACAAGCATAATGTAGAGGAGAGCAGCCGCACGTATCTTGCTTGTCAACAACACATCCTTTTGCCAAAAGAAATTTAACACATTTATGGTTTATATATGCTGCAGCATAGTGTAATGGTGTTCTACCAAGCTTGTCAGAAAGGTCATATTCAGCTCCTACATGTTTAGCATAATAAAAGTAGTAAATAATTAAAAAAAAAAAAATTTTGAAATTTTAAAGTTTATAAATGAAAACCTTGTTTGAGCAACAATTGTAAACATTCATGACTGTCTGAACATGCAGCACAATGCAATGGAGTTCGATCATTACCATCAATAGAATTTACATTACATCCATTTGCAATTAGTGTACGGCAGCATCCTGTATAGCCACCTAACGCTGCCATATGCAATGCAGTCATGCTATCCTCTCCACGCCTTAGAAAAAAAATTTTAAACAAATTTTGTTTTAAATTTAAAATATTAAACTACTTCATAGTTAATAAAAAAATCATTAAATATATTTGCATTTAATATTTTTTGACTCTACATGTTATGTGAGAATCCTATAAAACCTTTTGCAATTTGTTTGAAAGATCTTTGTCATATAAATAAAATTTTAAAATTATCAAAGATTTTTTTTCAAAAATATATTTGTATTATTTTTTTTACAATAAAAAACTTAAATTAATTATAAGTGTTATACTTAGTTGACAATTTGTATCATTAAAAAAATACAAAATGTTAAAAAACAGTTTTAAAAAAATTCATAGACCTTTGTTAAATAATTATAGAATCTCCATGATAAAACCCCAAGTGAGAAAACATTTAAAATTAAAATTTTTTGTGTTAACCTTAAAATTAATGAGTATTAATTGCAGTTCATTATTTTTTTCTTTTTTTTTTTTTGTGTTACAAAGAAAAAAAAAATTTGCTTCATTTTCATGAATGAAAATTTAAAGAAAAGTTATATTATGATATTATTATTACCACACTGTAATGGAAATTATTTATAATTTGGTAATTATATAAAAATTTCCTAACAGTTTGTTTACAATTTTTTATTAAATTATCTGCTTTTATTAAAGCATTTTTTGCTTACTTGTTTGCTTACAAGGAAAGTTAAGAACCAAATTAAAACATGCAACTATTTATAAAAGCTAAAATATAATGTTTAAATTATTTAATTTTATAAAAATTTTTATAAAAAATTTCTATTTAATCTTTATCTCTATTAAAATGTTAGCAACTATTTTTTGATTTAATATTATTTTGGTTACCTTATTGTAACCAAAACAATTTTTTTTTTGAAAAGCAAAAAACTTATATTTATAAAATAAATCAATATAAACTGGAAAAAAAAGGTTTTTTTGAACTGACTATTTGACTAAAAAAATAAAACTCACTCAAATGGGTTTGCTCCATTGCTTAATAATTCTAGTACAAACAACTCATGACCATGTCTAGCAGCCAAATGTAATGGTGAATTTCCATTCTTATCAAGCACATTGATATTTGCACCTTTCTCAATAAGTGAACGTACTCGCGATACATGACCATGTACAGCACAAATATGAATGGATGTACGACCAAATGAATCCTTAAAAAAAAAAGAAAAACTTTGCATTTTGTTATTATTAAAAAATCTATTAAAAAATTGTGAATAAAATACAAATACAAATAGTAAATAAAATAGTATAACAATTTAAAGAATAACTGCTATTAAAAAAAATAAATTTAAAAAAATATATATATATATTACCGCCATATTTGGATCAGCACCATTTTGAAGTAACAAATCAATACATGCCCCACCAGCATGACTTGCACAAGCCATATGCAATGCAGACTTAAAAACAAAACAGGACAAATACAGTAAACTTAGGTATAATAAACATATTACCTAAAACTATATAAATGTGATATATATTTTTTTTGTTAATTCACCTCCTCAAGGCCCAGAAGGCCACTACAGACAAGGAGGCTACTTATTTGTGGTTATATAATCCTCTCTCAACTCTATAACTCTGAAACACGAACCTTGACGAACAAGGCCGCTGCACGGAGAAACAAGTTGAGCGCGGTACTACCAGGGATGTGGTAGGGATTGAACTTGGAAACTATCGCTTATGAAGCGAGTGCTCTACCACTACACCACTACCGCATTTATATATATATATATATATATATATATATATATATATATATATATATATATATATATATATATATATAATTTTATATTCCATATTGTTATTATTAATATTATTATTACTATATATAATAATATGAAATATAATAATAAATAATGAAATATATAATAAATAGATTTTTATTAAAATATGAAATATTCATTAGTTATTAAAATAACTAAAAATACTATATTATAATTAAAAATACTAGTTAATATTATTTCTAATTATATTATTAATGCTATTTCTAATTATATTATTAATACTTTTTCTAATTATATTATTAATACTATTTCTAATTATATATGAACATTTTATTTTAATAATTAGGAGACTTGATATTAATAATTTTATAAAAGAATAGTACTACGATATAATAAAATTGGGGAACTAATGTAATTTTAAAAAAAATTTATGATCTATAAGTCAGTTACAAGTGAAAGCAATTTTTTATGTATTATTTTTTAGTACTATACAAATATTTTAAAATGTGATGGTTTTACTGATTAAAGCATTGTTGAACATTTTTAACTAATTAAAGCATTAGAAAAAATAAAACATTTCATAAAAATTCCAAACTCTTTCTATTTAAATTTCATACACAAAAAAACAAATACAATCAGAGCATTATTTTTAATTTCAGCTTTAAAAAAGCAAACCTTCGATTGATATTAAATAAAAGTTGCATTACACATAACGAAGCTTTTGTAACTTTTTTTTTTTTACTATTCATCTCGAGATCTCAAAGGAGTGGAAAAAAATCACAAACAGGTTTTTTTTAAACAATCTAATATAGTAAAATGTCGGATACTATTCCCAAAAAAGACTTCAGTTTTAAAAGTTACAAAATTACTATCTATTTCTGGTGTCTGGTGCCACCACCTCTAAAAATATTAGGAAACTTACAAGCTACTTTTAAAAAAATCAGGTTGTTTAGGGTACAGGAACTTTTAATTTCAAATCTGGAGTTCTTGCATAAAATGGTGGCTAGGGATTGTAAGTTAGTAAATAAATGGTTCTATAATTTTTTATGACTAAATCTCCTGCATTTCTTCTCAATGTAGTCCACAAGTTTTTTTTTTTTTTAATTATTCACCTCCCCGAGGCCCGAGGGGACACTACAGTCCAGGAGGTTACTCATTTTTTTTTTTTTTTTTTGTAAATCATGGTACAACCCTCTTTAACTCTTTAACTCCGAAACACGAACCTTGACAAGCAAGGTCGCTGCGCGGAGAAATTAAGTTAAGTCTCTTAACATTTTTGAAGGTACTGGATATCCAAGACCAAAAACAAATTAAAATGTGAATCCTTTTGGAAGTTGACATTCTTGAATAAAAAACAATTCTAAAAAATAAAGTAATGTAAAAATAATGATAAAACCTGCATTTTGTGATTAACTGCATTTATTTCCATTCCGTGCAACATCAAATCAACAATAATGCCGCTTTGTCCATTTAAACAAGCAATGTGCAATACAGTATTTCCTGCCATGGTTTGAAGTTTTACCTAAAAAAATAAACTAAAATATTAAACTATGCTGATTCAAAGTGTAATAAACACTTTGAATAAACTTTAGTTGATACAAAGATGTTATTTTATTTGAGCTTTTTTTTTTATCTTTTTTTTTTGGAAAAACTTAACCAGGCAAATTAACTTAAAAAAAAACTTTTATAAAATTAAACAGGTTTTATATGAGCAACTAAACAACTATACACACCTAAAGGTCAATACACTTAAACAAAGAAAATGAACTCTGGACAGGAGTTATTTGTCATAATTTGTAATTTAAATTGTATTTTTTTATGTAATTACAAAAACTTACATTTGCTCCAAGATCTAAAAGATCAGATAATGCTTCAGCTTGACCCATAGATGCTGCAGCATGAAGAGGAGTGTAACCCTATATATGAAATAAATCATAAAAGAATGTAGTATAACCCTATATATATATATATATATATATATATATATATATATATATATATATATATATATATATATATATATATATATATATATATATATATATATGTATATATATGTATATATATATATATATATATATATATATATATATATATATATATATATATATATATATATATATATATATATATATATATATGTATATATATATATATATAAAAATCATAAAAGAATGGAGCACAACCCTATATTTAAAAAAATCATAAAAGAATGGAGTATAACCCTATATATATATATATATATATATATATATATATATATATATATATATATATATATATATATATATATATATATATAAATCATAAAAGAATTAAGCATATAAACATAAATAAGAACTATAAACTCAATTAAAAACCTTTTTATCAGCACAATTCAAATCTGCATTATTACTTGCTAATCTATGAATTATCTCTGAATGACCTATATAAAAACAAAACATAACTATTATTTATAACATCATATTAATATATGATTATTTTTTGTTTCTTATTTACTTGTTAGCTATAATTACTTTGAGTTTTATTCATTATTTATCAGAGATTATGTGCAAAACCAAAAAAAGACCAAAAACAGGTGGTAACATTTATTTGTATTATCTCTTACTATATTATTTTCTTGATAGACAAAGTTTTTCTAAAAAAATATAGAAAAAAAACAATATAAGGTTTGATAAGAATGACATAAATTACACATTCCCAAAAAGAAAAAAAGAAACAGTGTAATTATCAATAACGCAGTTTTATTTTGAACCAGGAAAAGGAACAACAGATGCAATACATATTGTAGGCCAAGTTTAAGAAAAACTTTAGAAATATGACAAAGTATCAAGAGAAGTAATTTAGTTAGCACTCAGGTGTTCAAGAATAGCTGGTAACAGGTAGAAGTTGTTATGATTATGTATAAAAATATCACCTGAAAAAAAAAAAAAAATTAAAAGATAATTCTTTTAAAAAACCATTAAATTCCTACCCATAAAAGCAGCATAATGTATAGGTCTTCTATCTTTTTTATCTGTAGCATTAATATTTGCACCACGAAACAATAACAAAGTCAACATCTAAAAAGTTAACATTGAAATTTTAAGTATAAAATTATTATTAAAATATATTCATAAAAAAATATTAAAATATCTAAAAAAAATCTAACCTCTGCATGCCCATTGTAGGCAGCATGATGTAAACTTGATCGACCAGCCCTATCTGTTATGTTAACATTGCTAACTTGAGGTAGGAGAGCATCTAAAAATCAGGCTAAATTAAAAAAACAATTCAATGTAACCATTGAATGTTAAATATTTTACAACCAATAAGAAAGCAGACTGAGGATAACAAATTAAAAAAAAAACCAGGTAAAAAAGTTTTAAAAAGATTTCTTTTTATTCAATACTCATTTATATATATATATATATATATATATATAATATATATATATATATATATATATATATATAAAGTAGTAGAAAATCCTTAGCAAAAATTTGTAGAATACATTTTAAGTAGCATTTTGTAGGATACATTTTAAAATTGTTTATATATATATATATATATATATATATATATATATATAATATATATATATATATATATATATATATATATATATATATATATATATATATATATATATATATATATATATATATATATATGTAGAGTCCAGGGGAAAAAACAGCCAAGTCACATTTAAAATGTTTTGAGAAAGTATATATTGATCATTTATAAGTCTTTATATGAAACAAAAAAGTCTAAAAATTAGCACAAAAAAAAAATTTTATGATCAATTTTTCTTAAGTTAACATTTTTAATAAAATTTTTGTAATTTTTATTTAAAATATTTATTACCTATATTTATACAAAGACTTTTATAAATGATCATTATTTACATTCTTAAAACTTTATATATTTATATATATATATATATTTATATATATATATATATATATATATATATATATATATATATATATATATATATATATATATATATATATATATATATTAGGGTGGTCCACAAAACCATACTGAAAAGTTTAATTTGTAGAATCATTGCTCCACATGGCTTGTTTTGTCCATTGGGTTTAGGTATTTGGCCTGCAAAATTTCAGGCTGATTGAGCAACATTTAGAGGTCAACCCATTATCAACAATACTTGTTGAGGGTCCGCGCTTGCGATTACTGTCCGACTGTTATCTACAGCAAGATTACCACGTATGCTGGATGTACTTCAACTGTTCCAGTTTCATTATTTAATTGAAGGACGAACCCTTCCGGAAAGTTATAAAATGTTTTGTGATGCAGTTATTTGTATCATCATCACAAAAGAAATTTAAAAATATCTTCCAGTCCCCTAAAGTTATAGGTACTTTGGATTGCGTATGCCTCCCAGACCGTGGAGCTGTGTTTGTTGCCGGAGTTGTTGCACAGGTACTGGGCCATAACATTTCAGAAATGACATTGTCTAGAAGTTCAATCAGACAATTTACGCACTGAAAATCTTTCTTTTCAAGACTCAGTTCAAATTGACTGCTCGTGAATCCAAGAATATCACAGGTTTGGCTCTGTTTGTCAGCCTTGTTTATGTCAAACAGTGGAATCAGAGCCCCTCTCAATGACATCGAATTTTTGTCAAATCTGAATAAATTTAATATTAATCCTTTTATTTTTTTTTTATTTGCGCTTACCAATTTTTAAAATGTTTCCTTGAAATTACTCTTAAATACTTTAAATTCGTCTAACAGTTAATAAATATTTTTAAATCTATAGAATAATTTTAAAACCTAACAAACCCCTGTAAAATAATTATTTAAGTTAAAAATCTAAAACTAAAACAAAGTATTTTTGTTCAATTTTATCGACAACTTTGCTATTGCTCAATAATTTTATTAAAATGTTAGCTTAAAAAGATTTTAATCTGAATTTTTTCTACTTGTAAATAATGAGCATATTTATTTTTTTTGTAATTCAAACTTTTATATCAACTGCGTGCGGTTTTTAAAATATTTTATTAAATGTTAAAATAATCGTAAATTACTTCATTAAAATTCCGCTCAAAAATATCTTTAAATATACTCAAACAAAAAATTTTTTGCTCGACGAAAATAGCCCTAGCTACACGCAAAATCGCTCCTTGGATGACGTAAAATTCACATCGCCCGACGCTTTATCGCAAGGCCTGATATATATATATATATATATATATATATATATATATATATATATATATATATATATATATATATATATATATGCCTCGGAATTAGGAAAAATAATTTGCCATTTTTAATTTGTAAGGCACGTCAGGTCAGCAGAAAAAATGTAAAACAAAGGTTTGACCATAAAACATAGAAATGAGGTAGGTGCTTTTTTGCCGACCTCAAACACTTCTAGGTCAGTAATTAGGTTTAGGTCGGCATTGCCAACCCTAATTCTAAGGGTTATATATATATATATATATATATATATATATATATATATATATATATATATATATATATATATATATATATATATATATATATATATATATATATATATATATATATATATATATATATATATATATATATAGGGGTTGAAACATGTGCTAGACAATGGCGCCTTAAGACCTATTGAGACCTGTCTGAGTGGCCAACCAAACATTGTTCATTTTTTCTGACAAAATGAACAATGGTTGGTTGCCCTTCTTTAGCAGGTTTTTAGAATGGTCGGAGAGATATATGTATCAGCTCTATGAATGATGGTCGGCATTCTGCAATACTGACCTAACTGCTGACCTGAGAGTATTTGAGGTTGGCAATTTTTTGCCAACTTTAAAACCGGGAATTTTTTGCCGAATTTGAAACTTTAAATTTATTTGCTAATTCAAATAAAAAAAACTGCAAAATGAACCATTTATTTAAATTCTAAATAAAAAAATTAAAATAAAAAAAAAAATTGAGCGATTCATTTAAATTCTAAACAAAACAAATGTTTTATTACAATTCTGAATAAAATTATATTTTAAAAAAACAGCAAAGCAAACCTATTGAATTTCTAAATAAAATATTAAAAAAAAAAAACAAAAAAAAACTTATTTCAATTCTGATAAAATTATATATAAAAAAAAAAAACAAATGTCAAAATAAATGCATTATTTAAACACAAACATTTTATTTAAATTGTGAACAAATTAATTTAATAACGCATCAGCACAATGAACATTTATTTTAATTCTAAATAAAATAATTAAAATAAAAACAAAAAAATTAACATTTTAATTACTCTAAATAAATTACTTCAACTTTTAAACAAAATTTAGAAACGGGGTTCGAAAAATTGCCCAATATTTAGCATGAACAAACTCTGATTCAATCTGTGAAAATAAAGAGTCAACAACAAAATGACTCTATACACTTGGAAGAGATGCAGTAAAATCGCTTTTTAATGTCTCTAATCAAAGTAAAAACTCTCTATTTAAAATTAAGGAAATGTCAAACTATATACACCAAAACAAAATAAATCTATTTATCCGCCTTTTAAAAAATAAAGTAACATTTGAAATAATTAAATCACCAACTACTGTTCAGTTAAATCTTCTTTTTTAGATGATATAAAAGAATAATGTGATATTCATAAACTGAATATGAAAAACTTAATGCTGGTTCAAAAAAAAAAGTAAAACTTAGAGACTCAAAATTCCTGAAGCTACTCTTCATATTTTGGCACAGGCAGTTCAATGTTGGAATGTAAAACAACAGAGAACAATTTTTAAAAACACACTTCTAACAAAAACATTCCTAAATGATACTTTTTTATATCTCTCTTTTTTAATAATTTTCAGTTGCGAAAAACCGGCCAGATGTTTAAGTTGTTTTGAGAACATTTAAGTTTTTGTATGTTTCCTTGTTTGTCCGCAAAATAATAAGTTCATTTTTATTGTAAATTTTAAAATATTTTGTTTTACGGACTTGCATGGAAACATACATAAACTTGAATGTTCTCAAACATCTTAGTACGGAAAAAAAAAAAAAGAATATTTGCAAACACAAAAAACCCGCCAAATCTACGAACAACTAATTCTATTGGTTCAAAAAATACTAACCGAAATTTCTAGAGTATTCAAAAAATACTACCCGAATGTCCTGATTATTCTGTTGAAATATTTTAAATGAAATCTTTGTTGAAATATTTTTAAAAATTGTATTATTTGAGTTTTGCTACGTTTTTGTTGAGATTTCTACCATAAATTATTTTAACAATATACTATCAAACGAACTATTATTTTAATTTCTTGAGCCACATCTACAAAGCTATAAATGTTTTAAACTAACATTATTTGTTTACATTAATGTTTTAAATTTTATTTGTTATGTTGTCAACATTTTGTAAATATATTATAGATTTTATTAGTATATTCTAATTTTTTATATATAAGGGATGTATTTTTTATGTATGTAATGTATTCTTATGTATGTTAAGTATTTTTATGGATGTAATGTATTTTTATGTATGTATTTTTTATGTATGTTATTTTATGTATGTGTATTTTATTCAAATGTAATCTTTTTTAAAGCAATATGTGCGATTGATTTTGTAAACAAAAATACTTTCAATAATAACTGTGTTTTTAATGAAATTATTAATAATCATCAAAGTTAATACAAATAATTTGAACCACTAATCCATTTTCCAGAAAGAATCACTTATCGGGTACACTAATCACAGGCTTGGTCGGGAAGCGGGAGCGATCGCTCTCGATTGCTGACCACGTAAATATTATTTAGTTGCGAAAAGCTGGCCAGATTTTTTAGTCGTTTTGAGAACATATAAGATTATTTACGAAACAAAAAAATTTTTTTTTAACGGACATACATGGAAACATAAAAAACTTGAATGTTCTCAAAACATCTTGGTGCGAAAGAATAATAAGAATATTCGCGAACACTAAAAACCCGCCAAATTAACGAACCAACTAATTCTATTGGTTCAAAAAATACGCTGACTAAGCGAAATAAAACCTTTGAGCATTTTGTTGAAATGTTTTAGAGATTATATTATTCACGATTTGTTACGTTTTCAGATTTCTAGCATAAATGTTTTAAATATATATTAATTAAATTGTCAAAATTTTAAAAGTTTATTATAAATTATAGATTTTATTAGTACATTCTTATCTTTTATTTAAAAAGTATGTATTCTTTATGTAAATGTAATATTGTTGATCTGTTTTTTATCATAATGTATCTTTTAAAGCAATTTTT